AGGGATGCTGTGTATTCTTGGTGCCTGGGGGGGGGGCAACAGTGGGAGGGGCTTCTAGTGTCCTGGCCCCACTGCTGGACCTCCTGGAGGCCCCTGGTATTTTTGGCCACTGTGTGACAGAATGTTGGACCGGATGGGCCATTGGCCTGATCCAACACTGGCTTCTCTTCCGTTCTTAAACAGTACTTTGCTCAAATAGATTTACTGCTAAGCAGGTTAGGCCCTGGAGACCCAACGGCACACCTCTCCTCCTCTCTAGCCTGACGGGACAGTAACAGGAAATCCTCCCCCCCCCCACCTCCCTATGTATTGCCCTGTACTTTATTCTGAGCCACGTAGGGACTTGTTGCAAAGAAGAGCAACAAAAACACCTCCAGCACCTTTTCCCCAGTTCTGTACAGAGGTTCCACAAGAGCAGAGGACCCCTTACGATCGGATGGAAAGGCAGAGTCTAACAGGGCTGGCCGTCCATCACCCACACACCTCACAAGGTAGACCAGGCCCCCAACCTTTCTGAGCCTGTGGGCACCTTTGGAATTCCGAGAGAGTGTGGCAGGTGCAGCCCCCAAATGACTTCTCCACGAAGCAGAGCCCGCCCTGCAGTGGCTGCTGCAGCAGAGCCCCACAATGAAGGTCCCTGGGCTGTGATGGCAGCTGCTGCCTGAGCAACATTTAAAAAAACAACACTGCACAGTTAATCCAATCTCCAATAGCCAATTAAAACACTTACTAGGCAAAAGCTCCACCCACTTTCTAAAAACACCTAGTGGGCCCCAGGACAGGTGCTGGCGGGTGCCACGGCACCCACGGACACAAGGCTGGGGAAATCACGAGTGGGTAAGACTTCCGATGACAGATGGCACCTAGGAGAGGGGAGCTCCAGCCAGCAGCCAGGCACCCTTCCCGAGTCCGGGCCCAGCCCCGTCCTCCCTGCTGCCAACTGCCAGCATCAGGTCTGCTGCTCCTCTTCTCTCTGCACAAACTCAGTGGATGCACGCTGCTTGGCTGAAAACGGGTAAGCAGACAACAAAGCAGCTGTGCTGGGGGGGAGGTATCCAGAAGAAGACCCTGGCACCCAGTTGGTCCAGCGCGGGGCCGTTCTCATCTTAAGGCTTTCCAGCAAGAGCTGCAAAATGCTGTCACGGAACACCTGATCCATATAGAGCAGCACTGAGCACTGAAGGAGCACATGCCCCAGAGTGAATCACACACGTCCATGCATCTAGGAATCCTCAGCCAAACCCGTGAATTGTATACCCTGAAGTACTGTACTAGAATCTTAATCGCTCAGAACTTCAACCTTTGCAATGCTTGCACTGCAGTTTGTTATGCGCGCACAATCAGATGATAAAAACAAGAGTGATGTATGATCTCTTAGCTTTACATCAAGAAATGTGAGTTAGATCCCCCAGACCCATACTGCTAGCAGACCAGATTTCTTCTGGCAGAAGGAACCTTCCCTCTGACACTGGAGGCAGTAACTTCTGTCAGTGGAATAGATCTGCCCAAGGCGGGGGGGGGGGGGGGGGGGGCTGCAATGGGGGGGAAATCCCATATCTCCCCCATCTCTGAGCCCAGCTGCCGACATGTGCAGACAATACAATTATATTTGGGGGAGGATTTAAACCCCCTGTATACTTTTTTTTAATTCAGATTTTTCTGTTTCGTGTCAGTGGGGCACCTATCCACAGATTTAGGTATCCGCAGATGGGGGCCACACATCATTATTAGTATATAGACGATTCAAACCATGGAATATCCCTACGACGCTAGACAGGCGGAATTCACGGCATTAGCCATTGGCCAGCACACAGTTATGGTGAAGGACCCAATTAATTCAAACTCATAGTAACCAAGTCTACGACTATTAGCCACAAAAGCTAGCAGGGCCTCCATATCTAGAGGCATTACAACTCTCAACACCCGATGCCGCTGCCACTTCCATGCTCTGGTTCTGAGCTTCCCAAGGACACCCGAGCTTGTACTTGCCAAGTAGCATGGGAGGGCCTTGGCCTCTCTGCTATCTGTTCAGCCCACTATGGCAACCAGTTGGCCACTCTGTGAAACTGTGTGCTGGACTAGATGGAGCACTGGTCTGATCCAGCAGGCTTGCTCTTATGCCTCGATGGGAGTTTTGGTTTCACGTGCAGGGACAATTTCTTTTCTTAATACGGGAGGAGGAGTTGGACTGACTGGAGATGTCAAACAGAAAGACGGAGGTAGAGGGCTAAATATAGTTAACTTCCAGCAAACTGGATAGAGCGTACCACAGATTGCAAGTGTGAGTCAACAGCAATTCTGGTAATGGCAAAGCCTTGTTCTACGTATCTGGCTGTGATCCAAAGAGCCAGCGCAAGATGGAAAGATACAGTACTGCAGAAGAGACCTATCAGATTGCTTTTGGACTCCCCATTCTTTTCACTGAATATTCTGCAGGTCTAATGCAAGAGGGGGTGAGGGGAAGAGAAGGCGGGGGGGGGGGGGTAGAAAATCGATTGCTGGATTTGGTAACTTTTCAAGCACTTAAGACTTCTTCCCTGACACCAGACAGCTGATGAAAAACCCAGCTTTCACCAGGCGCCATATGCCTTAATGGCTGGCCCAGTTCCAAGGGCCTTTTGCGAACCTGGATGCCCCGCCCACTCGATATTAAAAACAAACAAACAAATGAAGGTTGCATCAGAGTTGAAGCTACATAATTCATATTCTGGACATTTCACTAGGGAGACACTCATCTGTACTTACAGATACATTTAAGAAAATGCATCCTCTCTCATCTTTCCTCCCTCACCATTTATGGCTCTCGGTCTGATGGGCAGCAATACTCTCTCTTCAATTAAGGGACACCTTAGGGTTCATCATCACACAATTGCTCCCAGAGACCCCATGCCAAATGCTCTTTTGGCACCGAGCTCGGGAGATGAATTAGTAGGAAGTCTTCTCAGTAATGCCCTCTCTCTAATTCCCATCCCCACCATCAGCATTTATACCTCCTCTCCCCCCCTTCCATTTCCCCCCCCCTCCACTCCTCTGCCCGAGTGGCTTTTACCGTCCCATCTTTCATGCGTGTGCCTGTCTTGATTCTCTGGAGGTGTATTTAAGAGATGTCATATCCCCCCTTTTTCTTCCGGCTTTCAACGGGCCTTCAAGTCACCACTTTTGCAGATGGGGTCGTCCTTTTTTTTAATTGAGCAGATGCCAGGGCATTGGGGGAGGGGGTGTAAACAGGGGGAGGTGGCTGGGGTGGGGTGGGAAAGGAAACGAAGGTTGTAGAAGGCACCATTATCACAGAGTATGGCCCAATCCAGGTTGGGAGCAACTAGCGAAAAAGTTTCTGTGTGTGTGGGAGAAGACGGGAAACACGGTAAGGAAGAGATTTGCTGGCTTTGTTGAGTCCAAGGCAAAGATTGGGGAGGGTGATTTGATGGGCAAGAGGAAACCCAATTTCTTCCCAAAGGACTACACTACCAGGTGCTGGTGGAGGCAAAAATATTCTTCTAAGGAGCATGGGGGATAAGAGTGGGAAGGACCGTGAGAAACTGGGATATAACCGCGCCCACAACTCAAAAACCAAGCGGCAGAGCATGCCACCAGAGAAGCCGTTGCACCAGTCCTCCTAACGGACGCTTCCTTTCCCTGGGTGATCTTCTGGCCTGGGAGTGCCACTTAATTCTCATGGCACCTTACTTTGGAGACACACAGACACTTTTTGTAGCAACACAGAAATGGCACTTTCACACGGCGCATAAAGCAGGGTTCAAAGAAAGCCAGCCTGGGAGCAATGGAAGCCACCAGCCAGTTGTGTCTCCCTCCCCCAATTAGACTGTCCAAAGGAGGCACCCACAAACCAGGGAAGCTCAGGCCATGGCCACGGCAGGGGCCGTTTCTTCTACAGGCTGTCTCAGAGGGAAAGGAGCAGGGACCAAACAGATGTAATACTTAAGCCACAAGACATCTTGTGGAATTTTTTTATTATAGAGAGAGTGTAAAATGCAACTGTCAGTCAAATAAAAAGAACATTTTTTTTTGTTTAAAACACATCATGCTCAACATTATCCAATTGTGTCTCTGTATAGTTAGACATTTCAAGCATTATAAAGAAATAAAGGGCGGGGGGGAAGGGTCTTAGAACAGTCACTTCAGTACATTTCAAAACGGAATGTCCCCGGAGGTCAATTAAAAATGTCAAGGAAAAATAGCTTTACTTCTGGGGGTTTTTTTTTCTCCTTTAAAAATACACTGTTATCTGTACAAGAAAACACTACAGTAAACATTGGAAACCATATTATCCCTTTTATTAAATCAAAAAAATTATTTAGCGCATACCTGTGGTTAATACTAGATTTCATTTTATTTCTCTAGGTAAATTCTGACAAATATTAAGATAAGAAAATACTTAAAAAGAAAAACGAAAACGAAAACAAATGATGGGGGGAGGGGGGGAAGCCAACACACACCCTGGAATTAAAAAATAGCTACTTACTATTTTATATGTTTTAATGTTCCACAGTGTTTGTTAAAGGTACTAATAGCAGTTTCTTCTTAATATTAAAAATAACAGTATTTATTTCTGAAATAGACAAAAAGGTATTTTGTTTGTTTTTTTTCTATTTTTTAAGACAAAGCTTGGAGGTCTTAGATACACAAATGCAACCAACAACGGAGACATGGAAAAAAATAGTATCGCTAAAAAATTAAACATTGTTTTTTTTATATTAACCCTTTAGATCTCTAGAAATTATACAACCCCTACAAAATTCTCCCCCCCCCCCCCCAATAACCTGCCGGACAGTCAGACAGCAAGGCTGCCTTGATAAAGTCACATAATTACAATACATACCATAATTCAGTTTTTTTAAAAAATGCAATAAAATCAAAAAAGACAGCCAAGATACAAGAAATTAGAAGTAAAATATTTAATGAATTTACATATTTAAGAATATTTAAATACTGTTTTTTTAAAAATTTATCTTTTTTAGAATTTGTTACATACCACCTAAGACTTCCAAGCCTCTTTCTGTTACAACAGAAAAGATTTAAAATTAAAAACACAAGGGGGGGGGGTGGGGGGACACACACACAGAAATCCACAATGTTGAAATGTCACAGCCCTGGGGTACGTTTTGGTGCCGGCTGCACTCTGGGCTTCCCTCCAAAAAGAATCCCGGAGACTTGCTTTTATTTTTTCTTTTCTTTTTCCTTACAAATTTGGAAACAAAAAAAGCCAAAGGGTGGGGGGAGAGAATAAAATTAGCCCCCCCCCCCAAACTACCCAGCATGTCCATGAAGTTTAGTACATTACTAATTGTTCCTGATTCTTAGAAAAGTTCAGTATAGATTATCCTAACAACTAGTGTTTCACAAAAAAACAAAAACAAAAAGTCTTCATCAAAATGTTGCAAATCTAGAAACCTCTGTTACAAAAAGGTTTACTTCCACATTGATTCCAAGAGAAAGGGGGGGGGGGGGGGAAAGAAAAAAGGTCACGCAGACTTTGTCCTACTGCTCCTGCAAGAAAGAGGAAACAGAAAGACCGGTTAAAATTTCTCAGCGAAACTCTAGAATGGAAAACCAGACTCTCGCATCCTCTGCACCGTGATCAACCAGGGGGCACCCAAGGACTTGGCAATAAGACAACTGCCCCAACCCCACCTGTGCTCCCCGGAGAAGCGCCTTGTGCAGAAGCGGAACACCCTGTGCCAAGCCAGACAGCAGCATGGATCTACGGCCCTCGTGCCAGGCTTGGGGGCTTTCCAGGGCTATCTGGGTGGCCAGGCCACCGTCGAGAACAGGACGTTGGACAGGGAAGCTCCCTTTGTTCTGGCCTAGCACGGGTCTTCGATTCTTCCAAAAACCATTAGACAAATTCACAGAAGACGGGGTTCAATGGCTCTTCACTGTGACCCTCCAGCTAACCAGAACCCCCAAGTACAAGGGAAGTCTATCTCACTAACCATGGTTAATAGTCATTGATCGACCCCACCCCCACCCCCGGTGAGCACATTGCCTGGATATAACACAAGCAGCCCCTCTGGATCTGACCAGGCCAACAGCCTGCTCCCAGCAGCGGCCTACCAGCCCTTTGGAGAAAGCTCCTGATTTCCCTACTCCACACATCTGCAGCTGTGCGCTGTGTCATTTGGCAGGAGAAGACAACCTTTGTATTCTGTATCTCTGAGAGGGAACTATTTACCAGCCTTCCATAGGAATAACTTGGACACATGCTAAATTAAATCAAAGGTCTGCACTAAGGCCAACCAGAGTTGCTGGCAATAAAACTTTACAACACGAATGGAACGTCTCTCTCTCTCTCTCTCGCTTTTCCATCTCTCGAAACTGTCAGGAAGGGCTGCTGGGCCATCTTCTATGCCAGAGCTTTTAATGGGGTATGAACTGCAGGTATACTTGGGGAAAGGTGGGGTTATCTGGTGTTTTATTTTGTTGGTTTTAAATTGTGATGTTTTTAAATATGATTTGTAACCCATCTTGAGCCATAAAGACAGGGTTAGAAATGTATTACTTCATTTTTGCTTTTGCTTGCGAATGTTTAAACGTGCATGAAATGGATTCAGTCTACTGGTCCAGCAAGGTCAGTCTCGTCCACTCTGACTGGCAGTGGCTTGCCAAGGTCTCGGGCTGAGGTCTTTTGCATCACCCACTACTGGATTCTTTTAAACCGGAGATGCCGGAGATTGAATTCAGGGCATTTTCCATGCCAAGCAGATGTTCTATCACTGAGCCTCCTCCCCTTCCCATCTTGCTCTTGGAACAACAGAAGTCCTGTTCAACCACCTTCTGGAGATTTCGAACACTCACACGCTTGGGAGCACACCTGCACCCCCAGGCAGGTCAGGGAGTTGGTACACTTTGGGCTTCTTGATTTGTGTACCCATGAACGGGGGGTGGGGGGGGGGAATGAGCTCTGAATGACTTATGTTGCAATGGTCCCGCTCTTACAGCTTGGGACAGCTGACAGGGCAGGGTCCGTAGCTCAGTGGTGTAGCATCTGCTTTCCATACGGAATGTCCCAGGTTCGATCCCTGGCTCTTCTAGTTAAAAAGATCTGGCAGGAGGTGATGTGAAAGACCCGGGAGAGCCGGTGCCAATCTAAGTGGGTGATACTGACTTCGATGGACCCAGGGTCTGATTCAGTCGAAGGCAGCTTCCTGTGAGGAGCCATGGCTCAGTGGCAGAGTGCATGCGTGGCGTGCAGAACGCCCCAGGTTCAATCTCCCACGTCAGAGACGAAGGAAGCTTTGCCTCTCGGAAGCTTACCCCCCCCCAACCGCTTCTGGAATCAGCTTAGCTGTTCTACGGCAGTCCAACACAGCCACCCGCTGAAACATGGAGTGGTGTGACTTCCCACAGGCGTGCTTTTTTAAAAAAGGGGAGGGGGCAAGTGAGGATGAGGGCTGGGCTTCCCTTTTTATCATTTGGAAAGTGCTTAGATAACGAGAGCTCCTTTCTGGATCTGGCCCAAGGGTTAGCCTTCTGCTTTGCTTCCAACCGTGGTCACACAGCCATCCTGTGTCTCTGGGCATTTGGTGCCTGGAGATATGTTGCCGTTGCGTACACAGAAGTCCCATTTTGCTTTAGTGGCCTTAAGCTACTGAAAGACCTCATGGCTCTGTGGAGAGTCTGCACTGCTCCCCCCCCCCCGCCACCGTTTTCTCCAGGATGACCTCAGCAGGCCTGGAACCCCGCAGAAGATGGTCCTACTGGAGGACTGACGGGACAAGAGGTGACACCCCAACCGTCATGAATGGATGACCCCACACAGACCGGTCCTGTCAAGGACAGTGCCCTACCAATCCCGCCATTTCAGCACTGCAGGCCGGGATACAGTCGTGTGGGGTCTGTGAGGATGGCTACTAAAAAGGCTCCTGTGAGCAGTGTTCCCTCTAAGCTGAGTTAGTGTGAGCCTAGCTCACAGTTATTTAGCCGCCAGCTCACTCATTTTTGTCTTTGCTCAGGAAGGATGGCTCCAGAGCAGGCTAATTTATGCAGGAGCCCAATCGCTCGCTCACAGCTTTAATGCCAGGAGCTCACAAAGTAGAATTTCTGGCTCACAAGATTCCGCAGCTTAGAGGGAACATTGCCCATGAGGACCAACTGCAACAGGCTGCCAGCTGCATCTCTGTATGATTTACTGTTCTGTTCCCATGTCTCAGACAGCCGCTGCTGGGAGACAACAGAGGCGAATCACTACCACACAGACAAGGCAAAGTTGCCTCGCAGAGGATCCTGCGTCCCGACTGTCTGTACAAGTCACTTCTGAAGGCATCCAATTAAGGGGACTCACGCAGCGATGCAGAGGGCGGGCTCCCGTGAGGGCAGGTGATTCAAAAATAAAATGCACAGCTAGGACAAGGAAACATTGCCCTCATTTTTGTGCTGGCAGCTAGACAATCCACTGTGGGTAAGCCACATCTGCTTGGCCTGTGGTGAGTTAAATCTACTTCCAAGTGACGCGGAAAAGAAATGTTTGGAAACTGGCAGCCGTTCCCCCCCACCCCCTCAGTACAAATGTCTGAAAGGCTGTCCCTTAGAGGAGGGCGGGGAGCTGTTCCCGTGGGAAGGTACTGGCTGGATCTTAGGGAAAACATTTTTTTACAGTTCAAGTTGTGCCACGGTGGGATCGGCTGCCTAAGGGAGGTGGTGAGCCCCCCCCCCCAGCAGTCTTCAAGCAGCGGCTGGACAAACCCTCACCAGGGATGCTCTCGGGCGGATCCTGCACTGAGCGGGGGAGGCCTCTGTGGCCCCTTCCAGCTCTGTGATCCTGTGATTCATCCCAGGAGATATTTGGGAGGCTGAGCCAAGCACAGGAGGGCCAGCCAGGAAAGCAGGCAGAACTATGGGTGAAGCTGAGAGGGGAACACCCACCTGGCCGTGGGCCTGAGCCTGCCCTAGTGTCTGCCCGTAATAAGCCGCTTGCTGTCTGTAATACTCTGCCCAGGCCATCGTGTAGTCTGGCTGGGAGCTTGCTTGAGAAGCGGCAGTAGCAGCGTGACCTGGAAGGGAAGGAGAAATGCACACCGTCAGCAGGAGAGGAAGCCGGGACACCGGTAGCCAGCCCACGCCCAGCCCAGGCATAGCGCCTGGCCACGATCCGTGTGAGTGGGGGGGGTTAAGCCCCGGTGAGCTCCGGGGATGGCTGTGGGCCCCGGATGCCCCCTTGGCGGCTTGTTGCGAGCAGGCAGGCTGGGAGGGAGGAGACTCGGCCTCAGGCATGGCTTGCTTGGGGCAGGGGACACGCTTCGCTGTGCGGAAGAGACAGCGGGGTGCAGTGGTCAGAGGGCTGGAGCAGGACTTGGGAGACCCAAGTTTTCATCCCCACTTGTGCCATGGAAGCCGGCTGAGTGACCGTGGGCCAGTCACGTTTTCTCAGCCTAGCCCGAGCCACGGGGTCGTTCCGAAGACAAAACGGAGGAGAGCAGGGTGGTGTAAGTGCCCCCTGGGGGCCCCCCCACGGGAGAGGAAGGCGGGGTAAAGACAAGGGCAGCAAACAAATGTAGACTGATCGGAACGCCAACGACCGGCAGCAGTTCCACATCCCGTGGCCATGGCTGAAGTATTCAGCCGGCAGCGCTGAGCCTTGGCCAGGAAAAAGCCAGCACAGAGGCAGGGGCTGTCTAACGGACAGAGGGACACAAGGAGACCCGCTATATCAAGAAGCTGAAGGGGGGAGAGGAGCTTCAGAACACACACACACCCCGGCTCCACCAGCGCTGTAGGTGGGAGGGCATTCTGCAACCAGAACTGCTCTGTGGAATGAGACTGATTCACAGAGACCCTCGGTAGCAGCAAGATGGAGCTGCCTGTCTCCGAAGGTCAGGCCTGCTTCCACCCCACACTGTGATTCTCCCCCTCCACGCTGGATGGCTCATAGCTTCCGACTTACGGGGCCCAGTGTGTGCCCCACTGCTCTACCCTACTTGAGGGCTGGTCCGTGGTACCTCGTGCCTTTTAGCGTGGCTCCCACTGCCCTGGTATCAACCCCCGGGGCTGAAGAAGGAACTGTCAAACATTTCAAGTACTTGAGGGGCAAGCAAGAAGCAAGTATTCTGAAGTTATGAAACCTGGATGAACCCTTTTTGGAGCAAACAAAGGGAGGGACAGAAACTGGAGACCTGCCCCTCCGAGGCACCAGCCCGCCACTCCACGGTCCAGGACGCCCAGTCTCTGCATGCTCCACCCCCCCCACCCCCGCACAGCCCAGTGCCACTCACTCTGTTTCTTGTAATAATCCTCCCATGCCTTGCTGTAATCTGGCTGGCTGTTCTGCTGCTGGGTCTGTTGACCTGCACAAAGACAACACAGGGCCGACGGCCATCAGGGGCGGGACACCGCCTCTCACCCAATGACCCACAGCACTGCAGGGTAGGCGAGCAGAGGCCCCAACCGATGCCCCCCCATCCCTCATGCGTGGCTCAAAAAAATCCAAGCACTTCTGCACTTCTCTCTTTGCCTGAATCCAAACGACCTTCGGTGCTCCTCTCTCCAGACTGGGGACTCCACAGCACAGGCCATTTCCCTTCAGACTTTTCTATCCAGCCCCTCCCGCCAGAACTGCTCAAGGCAGCTTATAGACAATTAAAAAATACAGACAATCGCGTATTAAGATCACATTTCAACACGAACAGAAAGCCTGGATAAAGAAAGACCTTCTGCAGTTTGTGCCTAGGACTCTGTAGACTTGGCACCGGCTGAATGTGGGATGCATGTTCCATAACTGAGGTGCCACCACGGAAAAAGCCCTGCTTTGCATGATCACCCACCTTATTTCAGGTACTGATGCAATGTGGGATAGGGCTTCAGATGATTCGAACAGTAACCAGGTAGGTTTACATGGGAGCAGGCAGGCCTTCAGATACCCTGAGCCCAGACCACAGAAGGCTTTTAAAGGTCAGAACCAACACTTTGAATTCAACCCAGGAGCAAAATAGCCAAGGCAAATTCTTGGTCAAATGGGAGAGGGGGCGCTGGTTTAAGCCTGGCTGGGAGGGAAGAGAAGAGGCTGCAGCCTGTAGATTGTGAGAGAACACTCGCTTGCTCAGAAAGCACAAGGGCTGAGTTCAAGCTGTGCACAAGGGGAAGATGGGGGATCCAACAATTCTCCAGACTCTGTCTTGTTACGAAAAGCCAAATGCAGGGCTGTTGTTACATTGGAACCACGTGAGCCATGCCAGTGACTGGCTCAGAAACCAAGACTGGGCTCTTTAGAGAACATCTGACATCATTTGCAATGATCTCTGAATTGAGACTGCTGCAGGCATCTTTCCTGATTGGGGTGGGGGAGAAGGAAGCTGTGGTAGTGGGGGGACTGCTTCCTGATTTTCAGGTTACAGTTGACGGGAGGCCTCCTTTTCCCCCTGAGCTGGGATCCGTGAGAACTAGATGCTCCCCATCCCCCAAGACAACAGCACGAACTTCAAAGATCTCCTCTAAAGCCCCCCCCCAACAATGGCAAACAAATGAAAATGCACGCACACCACGAGGAAAGCAGCATGCATTTAAGGAAAGGGGGGTAAGGAAAGGGGGGGCACATGAAGCAGGAAACCCACGAAGGAGAAGAGCCTTCTGAAGGGGCGGTGGTGGAGGCCTGGCAGGGGGAGGCACTGGGGGCACTTAAAAGGCTCCACCGAAGCTGGAAGTCAGCAACTTGCCTGGCCAGGGGTCAGGGCCAGCATGGCAAACCCCACCCCCGCTAATGCCAACAAAGGCCCCCTTCAACGCCTTTTCTTCCAAGCAGAATCACAGACTACGGGCAGGTCGAGAGGCCACGCTGGAAAAAATGTGTCTCAAGGCAAAGTGTTTTCACCCCGGGGGCTGGCTAATTTATTGGAGGTGGGAAGTAATTAAAAACTAAGAGGACATGTGGAGGGGGGGCTTGGGGGGGGTTTACAGGCGTGAACAGACTGCTCCTCTCTCTCCACGTTCAAAACGGCAAGAGGATGGGTCCTGAAACGACTTGGGAGAAGGACAAGTTCTGCAGGAAGGGCGAGAAAAGTGAACAGCCCGGGAGCACAACCCAAACACACGACTGCATTCCTGTGTGCACGACTTGCAAGGGAAATCCAGCTCCGTTACACACAGGTTTGCGCATACTCATTGGTTTGGGCTTTTTTCTTTTCTGAAGATCACAAGTGTCACAACAAGCTTGTGGCCTTGTGTCAGTGAAGCAATTAAGCCAGGTTGCTTTCCTCTTGCACTGTTAAGACGCTATTTTTAACATTTCACTTGGAATGTACTAGTCACGGGGAGGACAGGGAACTATCTGCAGTCCTTGGGAGCCTAGCCCCCAGCATGCACTGCTCACGGGTTTTCAAGGATATAACTGCAGCCAAAAAGGGCTAGAAACGGGCTCTTGATTTTATAACCAAACCCAGGAAGCAGAACAGCAAGGTCAAGCACCATGTTCATGCAGGTTTTCTTGTGCCCTTGTTGAATTGTAGAGCGTGCACACAGTGCCCTAGGTTACACGACACAATGGAAGGCGGAAGTGCTGAAGGAGAGCAAAAATCTCGAGCTGTATGAAATGGAGACTGATGGGGGTGGGGTGTTTGTGATTAAAAATAAAGTGAGTGAATAGGGAAAAAAGAACTAGGCCGTGAGGAGTTTTGTAGGTTATTTACCTAGTTTCTTATAATAATCCTCCCATGCTTTGGTAAACTCCACCTGGCCTGACTGGGTGCCATTGTGATCTGCAGCAGGAGGAGAAGAAACCCGTGAACCCCACTGGAAGCAAGCATCCCTCCGCCCCACAACCGCCAACCGGGTTCAGCCAAGAGGATGCCGAGGGAGCAGGGAACAAACCAGCCCCCCCTCCCATCATCAGGACAGCCAGAGACAAAAATCGAGATCTGAGCCAAAATTCGCCCCGTTCTGATGTCACTGGCTGCCAGTTGCATTTCCTCAAGGCCGTCTGCACCACTCACAAGTGTGCCAAGAAAAGCTTTTGTTTGTTTTTTGTTAAAAAAAGGTTATTTAGGGATAGTGAGGCTAGTGGAGTGTCAGAAGGTTTTGATTCCCCGATCCTGCTACTAACATAAGAATTGTGAGTTGACTGTTTTAACTGTTACCTATGTGTTTTAATCCTTTCTGTAAGCCTCCCTGAACCAGCTTCAGCCCACAGAAAGCAGAAGCCTGGCACCGCCAGGCCTGATGGAGGCTCAGAAGGGCGCTCCCTTCCTTCAGTCCCCAACAGAGTCACACCGGAGAGCAGAGGCCCTGTCTGGCCAAGGGCATCGCAAACTAGAGCAGGTCC